GGGAGGGGGGGGAAAGAGTTTTGCCTTTATGTCCACTTCATGATATAATTTCATAGGATTGAAAGAGTAAGTACAAATTTCAATTTCCAAGCTCCAGCATAGCTATTTTTCTTTTTAGAATATTTCACTTTTCAAACAATAGAATATTTTCTTCTTTTCCCATATTGCTCCTCAGTTTCCACTAAAATCAAGCCTTTCCCACTCACCCAGAAGATCCCTTGATCTGGTTCCAAAACCATGAATCAGCTGTTGTTGACATGAGTTGTCAGACGGTGGCAGCAGAGCCCACAGAATGTTCATCGGTCCTAAAGCTGGGAAGCCAACTGATGTGCAAATCTGAATCTGGAGAGCTAATTCTAGTCAAAAGGTGCTCCAAAGACACATCCTCTTAAAAGAGGTTGCTTTGCTGTGTAGGTTTAAAAGCTTTGATAATATCTAGAAATCCTCTGAGAGAAATGGTTTTCAAAAGGCATTTAAGAAGTTCACTTCACAAAATAGGAAACTTACTGATTTGAGGTTAACACACATTTTAGATAAAATTCTTCATGAATTCAGAACAGATGAAAAGTATCCCCAGTCTACTCCCCTCAGGTAATTATCTCTTTATTGAGCTCGTTAGATGTTCTTGTTCCTGCCAATTTCTCCTTCCTTAATACATGTGGTGAGAATCAGAAGTCTTGAATTGTGACCACAGCTATTTCCCTAGTATGCTGTGATTTAAAAAGACAGACATTGTCAGAACCCAGTGGCTCATGCCTATAATCCTAGGTACTCAGGAAGGTGAGATCTGAAATTCACGATTCAAAGCCAAGCCTGAGTAAGAAACACTTTGAGACTTTTCTCTCCAATTAACTATCAAAAAGCCAGACCTGGGACTATGGCTCAGCTGGCAGAACTCTAGACTTGAGCAAGGAAAGCTCAGGGACAGAGTCCAGGCCCCAACTTCATCATGACCCAGGAATGCTCACTCCCACAGGGGAGAGAGAGAGAGAGAGAGAGAGAGAGAGGAATACAGAGAGACAGAGAGAAACAGAGAGAGGAAAGAGAAAGAGAAGGAAAGAGAGAGAGGTAACTTGCTACCTTATGAGGTCTCAGAGCAATGCAGAATCACCAAAAGGGTAGTCCTCCTTATCTTCTAGCCCTTTTCAATTGTGGTCCATCTTTCTTTGGCTTTTAAAATTTTTCTGAAGTAAAATTCATAACTTAACCTTGTTAGCGATTGGTGGTTCAGAACGGATTCTGGATTGGATACTTCAATCCAGTAGCTTCTTAAGGTGCTTCATATTGCTTGAGGAAGTTGATAATACTACATGCCTTAGAGGGCTAAATGAAAATCTATATGAGGGCTGGGAAGGTGGCTCAGTGGTAGAGCGCTTGCCTTATAAGCATGAGGCCCTGGGTTCGATTCCTCAGCACCACATAAGCAAAAAGAAAAAAGCCAGAAGTGGCGCTGTGGCTCAAGTGGTAGAGTGCTAGCCTTGAGCTGAAAAGCTTGAGGTACAGCGCCCAGGCCCAGAGTTCAGGCCCCACGACCAGCCCCCCCCCCAAAAAAATACTATATGAGTACACAGACAGATATTCATGAAAAAGACCTTACAAATTTTGCCCGGCCGGTGACTAATTTTGCATGTATGTGAATTATCATGTTACCTACAGTAACATAAACTCCAAAGGAACCTTATCATTTCTTTTCAGACCATGAAGAGAAGTTCTAGAAGTTCTAGTGACTGCAACCTGTTCTCTGGTTTGGAGAGGTTAGATTGCAACCTGGTTTGGAGCCAGGAGTGGGGTTGGACTTAGGGTATGAGGATCTATTGTCTTTCTACCTTTCTGCTTGAGAGACTTGGACAGGTTATTGGACAGGAACTTTCTAACCCCCCACTCTGTAATTCTCAGCCTGCTACCTCACCATCATAGTTTCTAATGCCTAAGATTTTAGAATTACCTTCCCCAGGTAGTGCAGGAGGCCTTACCCAAGACTTACCTGTAATAGAGGAGAGTAGAGTGTCCAATTTGAACATGGACTCTGGGAAAAATGTTCCCTAGTGAATCCTTTCTCCCAGAAAACTGTTTTACAGTTGTTTCTTGAAGTTCCGTGCTGTTTTTGAAGTTCTGTTACACTAGAGTCATACCTAAAGGAAAGCAGGATGATAAAAATGAAATTAGAAAGAGGGCATGAAAGAAAATGGAAAAAGAAATGATTTAAGTAGATTATAGGTTTATCACATTTCATAGAATTGTTTTGTTTTATCTTTTGGTCCTGGGACATAAACAGACAAACCTTCATACTTCTTTAGGAAAGAAATTTTTCCTTAAAGAAATGACCCTTAGGGAGGAGAATTCCAAATTCAGAAAACTGAAATCTAACTATCTTAATGAATCTATCAGCTCACTTCCAAGCTTGGCTTACCTAAATAGCAATGAGGTACTGCTAGGGGCTCTCTTGTCCTGAAGCACTTAGATAGGATAAAGTAGATGTTTTACATGACCTTTTTTTCTTCTGTAAAGCAGGGCTCAGGGACCATATGTTCAAGAAATTATAAGTAAATGAAACAGTCTGGCAACCAGTCCACAAAGGCTACTCACAAGTCTCTGTATTCCTGTTCTCATGACTGTTTCAAGCATATTTTCAATGCTACAGGTGACTTTTGCTTTTCTTGTCTCCTGTTTTAAGCAACAACATCACCCACTATCTTTATCCCAGTGACCACATGTTTTATTGGGTTATCTCAGCTGTCTCTACCTTTGCATGCTGGTTCTTGCCATATTTTTTACAGCTACAATTTTCATGAGGTTTTGGTCATGTAAACATTATATGTAGAATGACTATATATCTATATTTTATATGTATGTATAAGGATTGATTGAATATATATTAACAAAATGATCAAACCATGTTAGAGTAAAATCAGTGACCTTCAGCTGTGTATCTTGAAGAGGGATTTTGTATTTCTCTATGTTGTCTACTTTTCCATAGATGTTTTTGAAACAGCATTAAAATTGAGGGTAAGGGTAACCGAATGTTGCAACTTCTGGGCTATTTTGAAACTTGGTAGAGAAAAGCCTTTTATATTTTTTTCTGGTAGGTCATTAGAATGATGGGATGGATCTCTTGATCTTTTGAGTCCATCCATCCATCCATCCATCCATCCATCCATCCATCCATCCATCCCTAACCATCAGACTCTTAGCACCAAGCCACCAAGCACTCTGCTCTTTCCAATTCCCCCATTCACGACTACATTTCCACCATATGAAAGCCCCCCAAATGCCTCAAGTTATTCCTGTGATTTCAGGGGAGAGTCTTTGTTAACAATGACAAAATAGCAGATTCCAAGCTTTGGTAAAGATTTGCCTAGATTTCCATAAGCACTCACCTTGCCCACTTATCCTTGCCTCCCCAGACCCATCCCTTTGTAAAATAGCTGATAAATGGTTGCTGGACAATTCAGCTTTGAAAAAAGCAGAGACTCCTGAAAACTCTGCTGTTCATAAGCCGAGTCTGGGCATGTTGTCTGTTACATTCCTGAACTCCATTTCTATCACAAGTACTAAAGCAGCTTGATTCTAAAGACTGATGTTTGGTATCATCACCAGTCTTCCTGGTTTTAGTTCACATATTCTCTTCCCTGGCCATTCCCCTCAGGGAAAAAGGTAATTATGAAATAAGAAAGCTGCATCCATCCTGAAAATCCACGAAGCCGCCATGGGTAAAGGCTATGAAACGTTACAGGGAAGGAGTACTCTCATTCCAAATGTGGCTCTAAGCACACCTGTGTGATAACCCCTGATTTAAGCTGACACATAACTTATGCAAAGGATGTCCTTCTTCTTCCAGAAGTGTCTTTTGGCTCCATTGATTATTTTTATGGATTAGAACGGTTCAGAAAAGAAGTACATCAAAAGAAAAGGATTCTAAGGGTGTTTGTTTTTATGGCTCTTCCTGTCTGTTGTTGTTCCAAATGAAGGGATATAAGAGTTTCAAGGTTTGTCTCACATAAACTCTCCTTCCACCTGGTCTAAGTACAGAAATGACACTTAAGTTGAGATTCAAGAGGAAAAAAATGGTGTCTTCTTTCTCCACTTGGGTGGGCCTGGGGACAAGGAGTAGGAGTGATGACAGCATTTTGTTTTTATCCATCACCTTGGTAACTGTTCATTCTCTACACTTCCAATCATCTAGCCATCATGTTTGGACAAGTAGATAAGGCAACTTCTTAGAGAGTGAATAAGAAGCATTTAACTTCCAAGGCATTGCTTAGAAAGTGATTTCTTTGAATCTTAATACCATGTGCTAATTCTTAGTGACTGACAAGAGATTCCTAACCAGGTTGGACTGTGTGAATAGTGGGACTGGGTGCCAGCACTCAATTTATCATGCTTTCTATCTTTCATGTGTGTGTATATACATCTATATATATATACATACTTATACATACATACATATATATTTTATTTTTATTTTTCCTAACTATCACCCTAAAGTCATGGTATGATCCCTGTTTGACAAAAGAGAAAATGACTTGCTTTTGCGTTGTTTCAAAATAGTGAACTTCTCAAAGGCTTTGAGACATATTTCCTATGCAGATTATAATTCATAAGTCACAATTAATAATGAAGGAAGTCTTAAAGGAAAGACAAAGTCCAAGGACAGTGAATTGCCACCTGACCAGTGTTTGCAGGAAGGAAGCAGGACTTGTGTAGAAATACCTAAGATTTCTCTAGGCCCTGCTGATAGCAAGAAAGCTTCTCTCCTGGATGCAATAGGAAGAGTAACAGGTTAGCAAAGTTCAGAAATAACTAAAAGGCATTTATTTTCTCATGTTCTAAAGATATGAAATCCCCAAATTTTAATTCTGTAGAATTCTCCAGAAATAGTTTTTAGCTAAGAATACACAACCTCTCTGTTGTCAAGCCTAGGAATATCTCAGCCAAAGGGAATGGCTCCAAAACCTTTTGTGAAAGGATATCATCTTACTAGTGTTTCCATGCTCTTGCAGGGTCAGGGCTGGTGGTGTTGAAGAGGAACATGAAGGACTACTCCACTGTAAGAATCCAGGATTCTTTTCCAAGAGGAGAGGAAAGCTTGAACTCTAACACCAGGTAAGAGCCAAAGAGGGACCCTAGAACCCTATGTTTTTTTGTGAGTCACTCAGATTTAAAAATGGAATGGGAATAGGTCTTCACCAAAACAAATTCATGTGCATTTCCCATTAAGATAAGCAAATATACCTTTTTGCACCATTGCACAGATTATCTGTACCCATAGTAACCAACAGTTATATTTCCAGTCTTCTTTAAGAGTCCTTTTCCGGCAATCTAGAAATGAAGCTTATGGTGAAATCTTAGCTATTTCAAATTAGTTTTCCATTATTCCCCATCTGTTATTTCCAATAAATTCATGTTGAAATTACATAAATATTTACATATACAAAAATCCTGTCAATAAGTTCTTCCTCTACTACAACACTTAAGTATATTAAAACTTCTACTAATTATAAAGTAAGGCAATAGAGGGTGATCTGCTTAGCTGATCTTAAAGCCCAAAACTTTGTCATTCCAAACTTAAATAAAGATAACTGCAATATATAGTCCACATTATATAGTTTGGTAGGGATATTATAGAGAGAAGATATAGGAAGATTGTTAATGATTAAGAATTGTGATTGTCTACTATTATCACTAAAACATAACTATTATGCTCTGATGTCTCATAACGTAAGGAATATTTTGTTGATTTTTTAAAATAATTGAGTGGTAATAAATAGTTAAGGCACTTTGTTGGTATAGTCATTAAATACAACAATATAAAAGTCTCTCAGCTGGGCTCCAGTGACTAACACCTGTAATCCTGGCTACTCAGGAGCCTGCGATCTGAGGATCTCGGTTTAAAGCCAGCTAAAGCAGAAAGGTCACCATGACATTCTTATCTCCAATTAATCACCCAAAAACCAGAAGTGGCTCTATGGCTCAAAGTGGTAGTGGGCTAGCCTTGAGCAAAAGAGCTCGGGGACAATATCCAGGCCTGAGATCGAGCACCACGACTGACCAAAAACAAAAACAAAAGCAAAGAGTTTCTCAAAAAAACTTACAATGATCCAGTGATCTCACTTCTGAGTATTTATTCAAACAGACTAAAATCAATATCTCTGAACTTTCATACCTGTTGTAGAATTATTGACAATAGCCAAGACACGCAATTACCCCCAAGCTGTCAAAAGATGAAAGGAGAAAAACACTCTGATATATATTTATATACATAAAGTGACATATTTATACTTTAAAAAGAAGGCACTTCTACCATTTGCAAGAAAATGGATAAACCTGGGAGACCATGCTAAGTAAAACAAGCCAGACACCAAAAGACAAATATCACATGATCTCTCTTACATATTTCTAGAATTGCCTAGAAATACATAGCAGAATGAGCATTGATATAGGTTGAAGTGTGACAGAAGTAGGAATGCTGGTCAAAGGACACTAAAAATTATATGGACAAAAATCACTTTAATTCTTGGCTGCTAGCAAGTGCTCATTAAATGTTCTTTGATTAGTACTAATTTGCTTAGCCAAGAACATGTAGGAAAACAGACTACATCTTCCAAGGATATAGATTCTTAAAATGAATCATTTTACTTAATCTTGTTTCTGATATATTTTATCTCTTTTAAAACATGAAAAATCAGACTTCTATTTAACTGGAAGATGGTGGATTTGTGTCTGGTTAACAGAGGTGTTGTATACCTTTCATTGATTAAACGTTCAAGATACTCACCTGTGCCACTACTTTGTTGGTGAACTTTCTAAGAATGACACTTACCCCCCCCTTCTTGCCCTCAATTTCAGAATTTTAAAATTTGTATTATTTTATTATCTTTCAGTAGTTGTACAAAGGAGTTGCCATTCAACAAAGCAGTTTATGAATACAATATATCATGTTCCATGTCACCCCTTTTCATCATTCCCCCTTATCCATGCCAACTCTAGGATTTTTTGAAACTAGATGAGATAATCATTGGTGGAAAAATTAGTAATTAGGTAAAGAAAAAATGTAAGTGTTTTTCTAGGTTTCAGGCTTTGCTTCAATGTTTCCTACAAGCCCACAGCTACACACCAGCATTGGGATGTTCTATCTTTTCCTTCATAAATGATTGGTAGATGTGTATTTATTTAGTACCTTATACTATGTCTGATGATTTTGTTGATATGTTTTCTAATTGGATGAACAAGGTAAATTCACATAAAATAAGTCACAGACCACATAAACCAGCCTCTCCTTGTGTGCTGCCGACACGATCAATCAGGCAAGTCTGAGGAGAAAGAGGTCAATGTTGCGTAGACTCTTCCCAAAGGCTTCTTTGGGAAGGTATGGGAGGTATGATTGTAAAGGTGACAGAAACTGAAAATATCAACTCTTATGAAGAGTATGATGTGGCCAAGACATGGAAGAATGTGTCTCCTCTTGTCCCAACCATCTCAACTATAGCATCATGAAAAACACCTCAAATTTCTCAAGAACATATTATGGATATTGTATGATGCACATATATATGTATGTATATTACATTTATGTTCATGATAAGTTGTTACTAAAGCCTGATTCAAATTGGGAAGCTGTTTTGTAGGGAGAGTTTGTTTGTTTGTGCTGGTCTTGGAGCTTAAACTCAGGGACTGGGCACTGTCCCTGAGCTTGTTTTGCTCAAAACTAATGCTCGACCACTTGAGCCACAGCTTCACTTCTGGCATTTTGGTAGTTAATTATGAGTCCCACTGATTTTCTTGCCAGGAATGGCTTCAACTTATAATCTTCAGATCTCAGCCTCTTAAGTAGCTAGGGTTACAAGTGTGAGACACCAGCACCTGCCCTGGATAGCTATTCTGGTGGCATAAAACAACATATATGAAGAAAGTGCAGGTGCCCCAGTCACGTCTGGGCTTCCACGGACTCCTTCCCACATCGTCTCTATAATCATAGGATAACTAGTCATGGACAATCAAGAATCACTATAGTCCTTGTATGGAATTTTAGCCATCCCATTTCACTGGATTCTTTTCCATATTCTTGAATGCAGCTGTCCAAATAAAGTATTTTAACTTGCTCATATTTCCTCCATTATCATTAATTCCCCCATTGTCTGTGGTAGATAAGGAAATAGTCAAGGCAGTCCGGTCATTCAGCAGACCTGGTCTATTAACCTTATGTGTAGTTGAGGATCCTGAATATACTATGAAAGTTCCATGAGCAATCCAGAAGCCAGATCATCTTTGAAACTGATACTTCTTAATTCAAAAGTAAGATGTATACATAGGAATGCAAGGTTTAAATAAACAAATCAGGTATACATTGCTGCATCTCTTAAATGGCAGTATGATAGTTCTTCCTTGTGTGTGGCTTTGCATTCCCTGGTTTTAATTAACTACAGTCAACCATTATCCTAAAATATTAAATAGAAAATGCAAAAATGAACAAGTAATGTTCATTAAATTAAATAATTGTTTTATGTTTAAGTGGCTTTTATTACATAGTAATGTGGTAATTATACTATTTTATTATTGTTGCTAACATCTTACTGGGCCTAACTTGTGAATTAAACTATATCCTAGATATGTGGCTACAGATAAAAAGCACAGTATACACAAGGTTTGTTACTATCTGTGAGATCAGCTGTTCTTACAAGTCCTTCCCATGGGTAAAGGAAGAACTTCTGTGTATACTTAAATGGATATTGTGCTGGTGAGTTTCTGTGGTATTTCATCAGTAGTATTGGATAGCTCAGTTGATTCAACACAGTGGTAAAGAATCAATGACAGATCTTGTGACCATTGTGTACTATGGAATAGGGTCTTTTGGTTAGTTGGTTTGATTTGTTCCATTGATTTTCAGGCCAATGATAATTCCACCCACCAAACCGGCAAATTTCTGTCTTTGGTAATAAGAGTGAGTGGTAGGTAGACTAGATGGCTAACTACAGATGAATAGGCATTGTTGGAATAAAGATAATAGGTATGCTCTGTACTATTTGGAATCCACTTGTGTTGTGTTAATGTAATATATTCACATACAAAATCCAGCATATTATTTATAGTTTTGCTGACAATGGGCTCAATGCTATTAAAGATGTAATCTGCAGGCCACCAGTGGGTTTTCCAGTAAGCTCAGAAACTACAGTCTTCTATTCTTAGTACTTACAGCTCTCTAGGCAGCCTTGACTTACACACATTATAGTCCAGTATTTCATTGCATCCCTGGTGTCTTTCTTTTCTTACAGAGTAAGCAACATTATAAATAGCATTTAGGCTCTCAGACAAGTGCACAGAAGACTATTTAATAGATTGTAGTTAAATATATATTTGTTGATGAATAAATAAATAAACAATCATTAGCTCTATTCAACTGAGGTCTGGGTCTTTAAATCAAAGGATCATAATGTAAGAGAGAGGAGATAAGTATTTTCTGTTACTTGTCAGGGAGATAAAGTAAGATCTGTGTAAATGTTGATGATAAATAAAAGTGAATTTCATGTCCTCCCAACTATCCATGCTCTAATTTTAAATTTCTTTATTATATTCTTCTTACTTTGGGTGATTTTAGAAGAATTCTGCTACTTTTACCTATTTATTTGGTATCTTCTGCCTCTTGTCTATAAAAATTTACTTCTTCAGTAAGTCTTGTTTTAATTAGATAAAGAACAGAGGGCCAAGTATGGTGGCTTAAGCCTGTGATCTCAGCAACATAGGAGGTAGAAATTATGAGGATTATAGTACAAGGTCAACCAGAACAAAGTTGGTGAGCATCTCTCAACAACTAAACCAAGCATGTTGGCATGCCCCTGTCATTCCAGCTAATTGGAGTCATGGGTAGAGGGATTACTATCTGAGGCCAGCCAGACATAAACTTGAGATGTTATCTGAAAAATTTAACTACAACAAAAGGGCTGGAGGTGTGGCTTACGTGGTAGAGTACCCGTCCAGCAAGCACAATATTCTGAGTTCAGACCCCCGAACAGTGTGCATGTGGCATATGGTGGGGGATGGAGGGAAAGAGGAGAGGACATTATTTAGATACAGTGAAATCATACTATGTTGTTACTGTGCTTGATATG